AACTATGTTGCGTAAGTTAGCAAATACAGGTTTATAGTTTATATAGCGCTGCGCATATTTTCGCAATTTTGCTAGTAAAAACTTAAGTTCTAATATATTTTCTACTATATCTACCCTGCGACGCAAAAACTAGAGTTAATTACTTTTATATACTATATAAAGAGGGCAGTTAAGGTTTCTAAAAATATAACTATTCTATTTACTACTATTTGCAGTAAGCTTTAAGGGCGTTAAAGCATAAATAATAGTTAGTAGTAGGGTATAAAATAGGCTTTTGCTTAAGAATAGAGCTAGTATACTAGTTTTTTTACTTATTTTTCCTTCTTTGCAGTAGTAATAATAAGCTTTTAATTAAATTAATTTATTTACTATAAAGTGCTTTATTAATAAGCGCACTAGTACTTATTAGTTTTGTACATAAAAAAGGCTTCTAGGGGCTTTTTATACCTAGAAGCTAGCTATTAGTAGGGTGTATAGCATAAGAAAAGTAGCTTAAAAACTATTTTACTTATATTTATTTTCTACTACTTTTTAGCAATAGCTTAAGTATTATTAGTAGGTAGCTTGCGTATTTATAGTCCTGTATTTGCACACTTTATTTCTTAAATATTAGCTAGTAATATTTACTCTAGTTAGCATAATATTAGGGGCTAGGCAGCTATTTTCTGCCTAATTAGGTTAGCTAAAGCCTATATTATAAAGCAATACTTTGGCGCTGCACTTATTCTCGCAGTTAATACTTAAAGTCCTATTTATTTTTATAAATAAGCACTATTTGGGGTTTATAAATAGCTAGCTTTACTAACTATTTATTAAATTTTTAAAAATACTTCTGCTAAATATCTGCACTTGTATGCATAATAAAGCAATTATAGGTTTTTTCTTCTTAAAGTGCATATAGTGCGGGTTTTTTTTAGCAATAACGCTAGTAATACCCTATTTTAAACTGCACTTTAGGGAACTTAGTAGGGGTAACTAAATTAGTTGCTTGCAGTATTAGTACTTTATATACTTTTATAGTAAGCAGTTAGCGCTGCTTTGTATAGCTACTTGCTTAGTATTTTTTACTTTTTCTAGAAAGTTTGTGCCCGCGTGCCTTGTGCGCCTAAGTATAGGATTATTACTTAGTTAATTCTGCTAGTAGTTATATGCTTGTTTTAAAAATTAAGCTATATATATTTAAGTATAAATAATTATACTGTAAAACTGTAAATAGCTTATTAAATTAGTTATTATTTATTTAATAGTACTTTACTACTTAAATAACTATAGTAATTCTAGAGCTAATACATGCTGAAAACTCTAATTTTAAAAAGAGTATATTTATTAAATAAAAAACTAATGCTTTTTAAAGCTTTTTAGTAATTTATAATAATTTTATAGATTATATAGCTTTGCGCCAGCAACAGTTTATTTAAATTTCTACCCTATTAACTTTTAATAGTAAGGTATTAGCTTACTATAGTTTTAACAGGTAATAAAGAATTAGGGTTTAATTCTAGAGAGGGAACCTAAAAAATAGCTACTATATCTAAAAAAAGTAGTAAGTGCGCAAATTACCTAATCCTAATACAAAAAAGTAGTAATAATAAATACTAATACAGGGCTCTTTTAGGTTTTGTAATTAGAATAAGTATAATTTAAACTTCTTAATAAAAAATAATTAGAGGGCAAGTTTAGTACTAGTAGCTGCAGTAATTCTAGTTTTAATAGCGTATATTAAAATTATTGCAGTTAAAAAGCTTATAGTTAAAACTTAGGTCTAGCTAGCAGGTCTGCTTTACTATATATACTTGTTTAGCTAAGCCTTTTTTTTAGAAAATTTTATGCCCTTTACTAGGCGTATTAGGGACTAGAACTTTTACTTTAAAAAAATTAGAGTATTTAAAGCAGGCCTTTGCTCGAATACATTAGTATAAAATAATAAAATAAAATATATAGTTCTATTTTATTAGTTTCTAAAACTACTGTAATAATTAATAGGAACAGTTAGGGGCATTAGTATTTAATTATTAGAAGTAAAATTCTTAGATTTATTAAAAACTAACTACTGCAAAAGCATTTACTAAGAATGTTTTTATTAATTAGTAAATAAAAGTTAGAAAATTAAAAATAATTAGATACTATTATAGTCTTAACTGTAAACTATGCTAACTAGAAATTAGGCAATATTCTTTTTTTTAACTTGCTTAGCACTTTACAAAAAATTAAAGTTTTTAAGTTTTAGGGGGAGTATAGTCGCAAGGCTAAAACTTAAAAAAATTAATAAAAAAGCACTACTAGGCGTAGAGCCTGTAGCTTAATTTAACTTAATATAAAAAAACTTATTAAGTTTAGATAAAATAAGGATTAATAAATTAAAAGCTTTTTTTTAATTTTTTAGGTAGTAGTGCATAGCCGTTTTTAGTTAGTAGAGTAATTTATCTACTTAATTGCAATAACAAATAAAATTTTAATTTGCTAAATAGCTAAGCTAGCTTTAGCTAGTCGCCGGCTTCTTAAAAAGACTATTAGCTTAAGCTAATAGAAGTTTAAAGTAATAATAAATTTGTAATACTTTTAGATATTTTAGGCTATATGCGTGCTATACTAATAGAGCTAATAAGTTTTTTATTTTAGTTAAAAAGTTTGGGTAATTTTATTAAACTCTATTGTGCTAGGAATAAAGCATTGCAATTATTACTTTTTAATAAAAAATGCCTAGTAAGCGCGTATTATTAGTATATATTAATTATATTTCTGCCTTTTATATATACTACCTATTGCTACTACTAATTAAATAGCTTAGTAAGGCCTTCAGACTAGCTTAGGGAAGTTAGTAATAATTATTTTAAACTAAAAAGTTTGTTAAACTTAGTTATTTAAAAAAAGTAAAAGTTGTAACAAAGTTTCTATAAGTAAACCTACAGAAAAATTATTACTAATTTTCGGGGGGATTTTAGTTTCTGTTTAAATTTTTGTTTTTTGCGTACTATTTGTTTCCTTAGCAGGCTCTGCCTGCTAATAAAATACTATAAAAATTTTTTGTAATTGCAATTAGCGTTAGAAAATATATAATAATTACAACTTTTAATAATAGATTTTTTAGTTCTAGTATTAATGAAAAACGCAGCAAAATGCGAAAAGTAGTATAAATTGCAGAATTTAGTAAATTATTAAATTTTTAAACGCATATTGTGCTTTTTAGTATTTTATAAAGCATACTTATTTAAGCGTTATTTGTACTTTTAAGTTCTACTTAGTATTAAGTATTTGTTTTTATTTTATACGCGGAACTTGCTTTAAAGCAATTAGCAGCTAGTATACTTATTTTAAAGTGTAGTATATTTTGTATTTTTTAGCTTAAACGCTTGCATTTATAAAGCTTATACTTTTGCTTTTAACTTTAAATTAAGTAGGGATACCTGCTAAACTTAAGCATATTAATAAGCAGAAAAAAAGAAACTAATAGGGATTACTCTAGTAATAGCAAGTAAAGCGGCATTAGCTTAAATTTAAAATCTAGCTCTTTTAGAATTTAAGTTATAATTTGCAGAGGGCGCTTTAGTATTAGCAGCAGTTTAAGTTCTTTAGAATAGAATATTATAAAGGGTAAAAATCCTATATATAGTTACTAATTTTTGCTATATAAAACTTCTTTAATAAGTTAAGTTATTTGGGAATATAGTTTTAAATAGGAAGTAAATTTCTTTTAAAGCTAAATACTGGCCAGAAACTAATAGCGCACAAGTAGAGTAATTAAAAAATAAAAAGTACTTTAGAAAAAAAGTTAAATAGTATATAAAATTATTAAAAGAAAAGCGCTTGTAGCTAGACTTGCTTGTAATTACTTATTTAAGCTTTTGCTTAGTATACTTTTTTACAAACAAATTAGTATTAGTTTAAGTAGTTAAATAAAAGCTTCTATTATATACTTCTTTTTAAAAAAGCTTTATAAAAAAAGCAATATACAACTAGCTTAAACTAAAGTTTGCGCATCTGCTAGGATGCTAGTATAATAGCTATAAGCAGCCTATTTTAAAATACAGACTAAAAAGTCTAATATTTATACAAGTATTTAGGTATTAAGCCTAAACGCGTAATAAAAGTAAACAGAAGTAGGATCTTTTTTAGAGTATACTATTAACTAATCCTAATATTTTTAAATAGATTTAAGTAAGAGCATAGCTATTAAGACCTAAAAAATAGTAAACTATACTTAAATAGAGTAAAGCTAGAGGAAACTCTAGTAAAAGCTTGCAGTAGTTCTAATGTGCAAATTAATTATTAAATTTAGGCATAAAAGCAAAAAACTAATTAAACTATTTAGTAGCTAGTTTCTGCCGAAATTTCCTTTAGAATAGTAGTAATATATTTAGTTTTATAAAGTAAAGCAAATAATTAGAAGCCTAGGAGTTAAAACAACTTTTACCTATTTTTAAACTTTAAATATATAAAAAGTCCTTATTACTTAATTAAATATAAATACTTAAATATACTATTACTAGTAGGCTATTTTTAGTAAGCAGAACTAGTAATGCAGGATAAACTAAATGCAGAGTTAAAGTACTAAAATACACGCTTATTAAATACTACAAAAAGTATTAGTTTATCTAAACAGCAGGACGGTAGCTATAGAAGTTAGAATTTACTAAAAAGTATATAATAACTTACCTGCTAAATAAACTAGTTTTAAAAATAAATAGCGCTTAAGTATGTTACTTATACCCTGCTACTAGAGCAAGATTTAAGCCCTAGTAAGTAGGCAGGTATAAAAGCTTGTAATAAAACTTTAGAAGTAATTTTAAGTTAAATAGTTTCTAGTGCAGATTTTAGTAGTAGTAGCAAATACTTAAATAAGAACTTTAAAAACTAAAATAAGGAAAAATTCTATATAAATAGCAGTTAAACACAGGTTAGTTAATTCTAAAAAATAAAGTAATTTTGTTTTAATATTAGCGCTTGCGCCGCGCCCTCAAAAGGGAAGCTAGTTAATATTCTAGTACCTAGATATAAATTCTCTGCAGCAACGCAACTAAAAGCAGAAATTTTAGTAAAAACTTTAAAAAAAGTTCTTTTTTCTTCTTAATAGTTTATTACTCTAAAATTAGTTTGTCTAGAGCTAGGGTTTAATAGCTAAAAAAGTACTGCATTTTTGTAGTATTTAGTGCGCTCCTAATAAGCCTTAAAAATTTACTTAAAAAAATAGTTTTTATACTAAATTATACTTATAACTACAGCAGGTTTCTAAAGTAAAAAGTTTCTAGTTAATAAAATAATATAGATAAGGGAAGTTAGCAAAATAAATCTATAACTTTAGAAAAAAAATTAGTTCTAAAAATTAGGCATATTAGGCTTTAAAAAAAAGCTTTTAGCGCAAAAAGGTACTAGCTGCAAAGTAAGCGCCTTTTAGCACTAGAGTATAAGTATTTTTAGTAAGTTTTAGCTATTTAGCGTGTATTTAATAACTAACTTAGAACTAGTACAAATAAAGGGAATTTAACTGTCTAATTAAAATATAGTATTATAATAGCTAAAAAGTAGTATTAATACAATGTAATTTCTGCCTAGTACTTTAAATATTAAAGTAAAAAGATTCGACTAAGCGCAGGTAAATAGTAAAAGTAATTATAACTTTTTTAAAGTAGTTAAATACTTTGTTATCTAATTAGTAACGCGCATAAATAAATTAATAAAATTTCTACTATTTTTATTTACTATCTAGCAAAACTACAGCTAAGGGAACAGGTTTAGCTAAATTAGTAGGGAAAGAAAACCCTATTAAGCTTAACTCTAGTTTAATATTATAAAAAAATATAGGGGGTATAGAATAGGTAGGAGCTTTAGCGCTAGTAAAATACTACTACTTTTATAGTTTTTTTACTTATTTAATAAAGCAAAGCTAGGCTTTATTATTTAACTTCTAATATTAAGGTTTTTTGTGGGCTAATTTGAGTTAAAAATATTATTAAGTAAAAAATTTAGCTAAAGTAGTATATTTGTTAAACTATAATACAGGTATTTTAAAAGAAATTTATAAAAAATAAAAATTTCTAGTAGAGCAAAAGAGCAAAAGTCTTCTTAATTTTAATTTTTAGTATAAATACAAACTATAAAAGTGTAGCTTATTAATCTTTTAGTCCCTTAAAATTTGAGGCTAGAAGTGCTAGAAAAGTTACTATAGAAATAACTAGCTTGTAGCAGCTAAGCATTTATAGCGACATTACTTTTTAATTTTTTAATATTAGCTCTTTTTATTATACTAAAGTAGAATTTAGTAAGCGTTGGATTATTTACCTACTAATAGAAAATATAAGCTAGGTTTAAACTATTGTAAAACAGGTTAGTTTTACCTTACTAATAACTTTACTCTAATAGTAATACTACTTAGTACAAGAAGAACTGCAGTTTTAAATAATTAGTTTTTGCAGCTATTTAACTAGGTATTGCTGCAAAGTTATTATTTACTAAATTATAGCTAAACGCCTCTAAATTAGAATTTATACTAGAATAGAGTAATTTCTACTTATACTAGTTAGATATAAATAGGCTTTTAGCCTAGAACTTTACTAGGCTAGCGTTAGTAGTTTTATTAAAGTTAGAGCTACTAGCTAGCGTATTGTAATTATATAGTGCATAGGATTAAATTTTTTGCAAATAACTTAGTTATTTAGCTAGGTTGTATAAGTAGTTAAGTAACTTTGTTATTATAAACTACTAAGCGTAAGCCTGCTGCTAGCTTAGTTAAATATAAAATATATAACCCTCCCTATTTATTAAGAAGTAGCAAAGTTTATAGTAAAAAAAAAAGAGAGTATTACAGGTTTAGAGCCCTAACTTTTTAAACTAAGTAAAAAAATGCCTACTTAAACTCTTAAAGCGTTCTAAGCACCTACTTAGGCTAGAAAAGCTATTTACTTAATATAAGTAGTATTAACTACTTAAATTAAAGGGGCTAACTACTTAAATTAAGTAAGTTAGTAAGGGAAATAGGGACAAAGTGCCTAAGAAGTAGTAGTTTTTTTTTTATAGTTTTTATTGCATAGAAAAGTTGTTTAAAAATTTAGAATATAAATTCTAAAAAAGTAAACCTGTTTTAAACAGCAGGTTACAAAATTAGGAAAAGAAAATAGCAAATAATAATAATTAAGGCGTCTAGTAACCTACAAGTTACTAGATAGTAGAATTAAAATAAATAAAGCATCTAGTAACCTACAAGTTACTAGATAGTAGAATTAAAATAAATAAAGCGTCTAGTAACCTACAAGTTATTAGACAGTGGAATTAAAATAAATAAAGCGTCTAGTAACCTATAAGTTACTAGATAGTAGAATTAAAATAAATAAAGCGTCTAGTAACTTACAAGTTACTAAACAGTAGAATTAAAATAAATAAAGCGTCTAGTAACCTACAAGTTACTAAATAGTGGAATTAAAATAAATAAAGCATTTAGTAACCTATAAGTTACTAGATAGTAGAATTAAAATAAATAAAGCGTTTAGTAACCTACAAGTTACTAGACAGTAGAATTAAAATAAATAAAGCGTCTAGTAACCTACAAGTTACTAAACAGTAGAATTAAAATAAATAAAGCGTCTAGTAACCTACAAGTTACTAGACAGT